TGAATTTTGTTGATTTAAAGGTTCGTCCGAATCCAAATGCACATGTTTATTATTGAACAACAAAAGGCCAGAAAAAAATAACACGATTTGGCTCTTATGGGCTTCAATGGGCTTTGGTATTACGTCCAGATTTTTGTCCAAACGTTCTTCACTCATGCCTACTAAACCTAAAAAAGTTTTACAAAACATGTAATCTTTGTTTTGTAAACTATTTCAAGACCTGGGCACCTGAAGGGAACTGAAGGCCAGACTCCTCCCCACCGACTATGGACCTTGGCCTAGAAAGGGGTTCTGGGTTTGGGAGATGGGTAAAAGGGGACCATTGGGACTACTTCTTCCCCCTGGTACGGGGTGCCACATTTCCCCAATTACTAGAGCCTCTGTGGACTATGGAGCTTGTTGTAGGAGGCCATCTTAGGAGCCAGTATCCATGTTTCACAAACCCTGTCACTCATTTCTGACCTGACTGTGGCAATATGGAATGCAGCAGCACACAAGGGGTTAAGGCTGGACCGGGACACCTATTTGCATCATGAAGGTCTATTTGTCCATTTGTGTGAAAAATTATGGGATTAACATAACTCTGACGCTAGGCGTATCAGAGTAAATTAACATAATTCAGATACTAATGATACAGTTAATTTAATTATACCTGTTATTGTTTGTGTTTATTCTCACCCCAGCCTGTGTACATAGTTTGGCTATTCAAACCATCAAGGCTTAAAGGGCAGAAGATTGATATCGGCTCCGGACATCCAGGCATTGTGGAGGGATGTTTGCTTTTATTGTTTAATGTTTTGGTTGTATTATTTCTTTACCAATCCAGAACTGTATAAATGTTGTGCTGGGTCTCAATAAAGCTAGTTCTTCTCTACCCAGTCTCAACTGGTTCCCTGTCTGGTGTGCTCTGATATCATGATGATGTCATGGGGCGGGGATGTAAACTTTTTCCACACTCACTGAGGGGTATACAGTATATGTGGTATGGTATGTCTTACTCACTTGTCACATCTCTGCCCTGATGAAGGGACCCTGCGTGGTCCCGGAACGTTGGGTTATGTGATACAGTATGTGTGACGTCCAAATAAATTGACTTTTTTGAATTTCATTTACAGAGTGCTGGTGATTTCTATTGTTCATCCGTGATTGTCACTGCAAGCACCACTATTTTCACTTGGACCGGAAGCGCTGTAATGTAAGGATCGCGGCTCGTCTATTGCGTTCCACAGGGGAACGTAGCCGCTTATCGTAAGTCTGATTCAAGCCGATGCGTTCCACACTGGAACGCATTGGCCCGATGATGTCATAGGCTCCTCCTATATCTTCTGGCTTAAGATGCCGGCTCACTGTCAGCTCAGCATTCCACTAATGTGGGGAGTGAGTGCCTGCTGACTCCTCTGGCCAAGGAACCTCCTGTCTACCCTGACTACAAGACTTGAAAGAGAGAGAGAGTGGGAACATCCCTGTCTACTGACACAGCCTCCGGTCTCATCCCTGTCTGCTGACACAGCCTCCAGTCTGCCTGTTCATCCATTCTCCTATGGTGGAAGTTCCTTAAACAAAACCGCAAGTACCCGAATAATCTAAATGCTACTGCTTGCATATCCTGCTGTTGTTGCTACCTGCAAACATATATGAACTGTGCCATCTGCTAGTATCTTTATTCATCCAAATACTACTGAGTGCATACCTTACTGTTGTTGTTACCTGCAAGCATATCTGAACTGTGCCAGTTACTAGTACTTCATTCATCGAAATACACTGATAGCATACCCAGCTGTTGCTGCAAGACCGCTTGTATAAGTGACCTGTGCTATCGCACAAATCCCTATTCATTCTTACAAAAATACCACCACCTGTATGAATTAATACACAGTGGTTAAGCTACTAAGTTGTTTCTTTGCAGTATATGATGGTCGGACTCCTAACTCTCCATATCTAAGATTGAGAGTGATGCCAGGAATCCAACACTGACTACCGTACCTCTATACCTAAAATCTCTTCCTCCACAATTCTACTAAGTTCCGCAGCTGAGATTCAACCCCGGCTGGCCCGGACATTACATGTAAGGAGTGCAGGGGGACGTACTGTTTTCTGGTTCCTGGACAGAACTGCATAACTAGACATCACGTTGCAGGCAGACGGCTGGGTGTATAGGCTATAACAACTACTTTTGATCCCTAATGGAAGACTTTGGATTGGATTGTAGCGAGAGGAAGCTGTGACCTTAGTGGATATACCCAGCCAGGGTACCAAGATCCATTACACTACTAATTCCATTAGCCCCATTTGATAAAGAGATAGGCAGATATGTTCAAGTTACAGCCCGGGTGGCAACCATGGCTTCTTCTATAGCTACAGTTGAGGAGTGAGCATAGCTACCCCACAACAGGAAGTGTGTTATTCACAGAATTACCAGGTAAAAATAAAGAAAAAAAGCACAAAAATGTAATGCAGCCACCACATCTAAGAACTGGTAATCTGCAATATATTACATTTCTGTTTTTGGCTTTAGATATTTTTTAAGGAACAGCCGTTTGTTTTAGAAACCTTCCCTTTATGTTTTTCATTGGTACCAGAGTTCTTTATTTATTTTTTGCTACGTATGTGGTTATCAGGTATACTGACAATGGCTAAAGTTTATCATTTTAACTTGCATTAATTGTCTCTATATTCACACTTCAGCTCATTATTTTAGTGCATGTGACACCTGGGACCAAGTAATGATCATTAACTGATAGGAGCAGTACATTAACCCCGTCTGTCACTCTCAATCGCCAGGGGACTTAATTATAATGAATATCCAAAATACCCAGTATATATACCCCTTGCTGTTAATTGATATACAATGGCTGAATACAGAAAACACTGCGGTTATAACAGTCATATGGCTATATGGAGTCCTTTTGAAAACTAAGACCATAGGCTGAGAGGAAGAAATTATTCTGCTTAGAGAGGTAAGTGGAAATATACACCATTGGTGTCACAAAATTGTTTCAGCTTCCTGGTAGAAAGATACTAATGCAATACACAGGCCAATTTTTTTATTTATTGACTAAATCATTTAATCAAAATTAATCAAATAAGAAATTAATTGTTAGCCGTCGTACAATTTCAGTTGGGCAACATAAGGGCTGGGTATGATTTCGACTTTCTCAATAAAGGATATCTAAAGCCAAAATAATATAAAATATATTGCAGCTTACCAGTACTTAAATGTGACACCTGCATTGGTTTTCTTTGTCTGACTTGTTACTATTGCGTATCTGGTAGAGAAACGAGTAGTGAGGAGGCCTCCTTTGCAACTCTTGTCCCGCACCCCTGAGAGAGGTGACAGGGAGTGAGAGGACAGAGAGCAGAACCGGTGCCTGTGGGTGCAGGGCACAGCGCCTGGGTGAGTATGAAGCTGGTCTCCGAGGAAGCAGGTGTAGATGCAGCTGGGAAGACCACCAGGAACTGGAGCAGGACGAGGTCAGGGAGGCCAGGGTCAATACTGATCGGGCAGCAAAGTACAAGAAGGCAGGCAGAAAAGATCCGGGTCAGGCAACAGAATACTGGAACAGGCAGAGGCACAGGAACACACACACAGGAGCTAAAAGACCATCCAGCAATGATCCATAGGACTGGCAAGATAAAATTGGGCCATCAATTCAGAGAAGCTGCATCACTTCCTGCGTGCCACGTTAGCACGTTTCCTCACGCACATACGTTGAGCACACATGCGCAATAGCGCCTGTTTCCCGCTAATGCGGAAGACAGGCGTACGCGTATGCACAGAAGCATCCGCACTGTCAGGTATAGTCTTACATTTACCTTCATTTTCACCTGGTAATCCTGCAAATAACACACTTTCTGTCTCTGAGTGGCTATGCTCACTCCTACACTATATCGATGGATAGAGCCATGGTTGTCACCCATGCAGGAATTCAACCATGTTTGCCTTTGTTCATCTCCATTAAAACATTTGTGATCCAGTCAGAATTCTAAATATCTCAAACAATATTATCAGCTTTCAGGATCCTTTTCCTTAATGGAGATGGGGGAGGTTTAAAGTGACATTAAACTTAGGAGTTACTTTTAAAAAATGCATTCAAGTACCCTCTTAACAAAAATGTCTCTTATTTGTGTATCACTGAGCTATAAATCTACAAATCATCTCTGAATTGGTGCTGGCACTGTCCTTCCTTCTGGAGGGGGGCTACTTTTGTTCCCCATGGTCCCTATGTGTGTTGTAAAGTAGACATCGCTCCAAGCTCGCTCCTGTGATAGACTACAATCTCATGTTTAGTTTACTAATTTGTATTGAGATTGTAGTCCATCGCGGGACTGAGCTTGGAGCGGTGACTACATTACAACACACACAGGGTTATAATAGTCCCAAACTATTTGTCAGCATCTGAAGAATGTTTATTGGCGGGAATATTTCTGAATAGAGGTGGAGTTATAAGTAACGTTTTTTGAACAGTGTTTAACTTTTTTTATGTTAGTTTAACTTAACTTGAAGTAACATTTATATAAACAAAATATTTAAATGTGCATAAATATGAACAATAAAATAATACAATTTTATGATGTGTCATTTTATTTATTTATGTATTAATATATTATTTTGCTTCAATTTATAGCATTTTTTTGCTGGATCTCATTTCTATAACCCCACAATTATAAAGAGAAGTGCATGGACTGTATGTTGGATGGGTGTCTGTGGATATGGACATCAGGAAGTCTGCATGTCTAGTATAGTACTATGACCGTGACAAACATAATGAAATAATAATGTTACTTCCTCCTCCTGGGTCTTTTTTCAGCTCAGCAAGTGTGCATTTATTCTTGTGCCAGAAATATGGCACTTTGTTTACCATTGATGCCATATAACAGTTAGCATACAAGCAGGAGTTTGACAGATGTGCTGATTACATCCGCAAAATAAAATATGGTGTTAAGTAAATAAGTAGAGCAAACAGATTTCTGATTCTTCTCATTTCAGATCCTAGAGGGCTATGCAGATGTATGTGAATCACACTGTCGTAAACTATTTTATCATTAAAGGAATTTCTGATGTTCCCGAAATACAAATTACAATTTTCATCTTAGTTTTTTTTGTTTATCTCATCACTGTTGGCGGTAACATGACCATTCTTCTACTGATCTGCATGGACTCTCATCTCCACACCCCCATGTACTTCTTTTTAGCTAACTTGTCCATTGTAGACATGTCTTGCACTACTGCCACGTTAAATAGGATCCTTACAAGCTTTGTTTCTGGGGATAAAACAATTTCCTTTTATGGCTGCATGGCACAGACTTTTATGGCTGGATCTTTAACAGTACATGAACTATTCATACTGACTGTAATGAGTTATGATCGCTACATAGCCATCTGTAACCCTTTAAGTTACCATTTGCTTATGAACCATAGGAATTGTGCTCTTTTGGCCTCTCTCTGTTGGGCGTTGGGTTTCCTTCTGGTTGCGCCTCTTGTTGGGCTATTGTCCAGTTTTTCTTGCTACTCATCAGTTGAAATCAATCACTTCTTGTGTGACATTGTTCCCTTGATGAAAATTACATGTAGCAACACTTCCCTTTTGGACATAATATTCTTCATAGAAGGCTTATTCCTTTTTACTATTATCCCATTTCTTCTGACCTTCACCCCTTATATCTTTATAATAGCAGCCATACTGAAGATCCGTTCAAACACTGGAAGACGTAAAGCCTTCTACACGTGTTCCTCGCACCTTACAGCGGTAATCCTTCTATATACGATTCTTGTTTGTCAATACCTGACACCAAGTACAACAAGCACCCTGGATTCAAAGAAACGGTATGCACTGTTTAATACAGCTGCCATCCCTCTGCTAAACCCGTTGATCTATAGTTTAAAAAATAAAGATGTGAAAGCAGCTTTAGGACGACAGTTGAAGAGAAGGAAAATATTCACCTAAATGTTTCCCATTTTTTTCCCCATATCTTCTGCTGTTATCAAGCATAGTAACATGGCTCTCTTTTGGATAAAATAATCATCATTTTTTTTTTATGTTACTCTTACTCTGGATTTCTTGTCATTAAAAAGATATTTGGCTCAAAGCCTGAAAACTGTGCAATAATAGCAAGAACTATTCCAAGCATGTCATAACTTAACTTAACTTAATTCCCATAACAGACTATCAAATTTAAAAAAAAGCAATTTGCCCAGGCCCACCAAGAGAGGAGACCACGAGACTTACATGAAATGTTTCTTGGACAAGAAGGATGTAAAGGAGCTTACATCTTATTCTGTGGTTCTCAAGGACAGGGATTCTTAACTTGCAATAATGTACAATGCATGTAATGTGTGTTTTTATGAAATACTCTATTTATATATATATATATATATAGGGTAGTTTTCCTAATGAGACTCTGCCCCTAGTTAATTCATCTCTAAGCACATTTCTAATCATATTCTCTGTCCTTTAACCTTGCATTACTTATCTAAGTTCCCTTAAAAGGCCTCCCTTCTACTAAAAGCCTTCTGCCTCCCTTCTACTAAAAACCCTTCTGCCTCCCTTCTACTAAAAACCCTTCTGCACCGCCATCTTTGATGCAACAGCAGCAGACCCAGCAGTGTAGGCAGTGTTTTTCTTCTGACATGGCAGTATTTGGAATGCAATGTTTGAATTTTGAACTGAATCTTACAATGTACGTTGTGGTATACCCTGAAAATTACTTATATAAAGGTGGCAAATAATACAGAATATATGCTTTAAGGTGAAGGGAATATGCATACATACGTGTATAAAGGAGTACAAAAGATGCTCTTACTGTTTACAGTCTGAAAAAAAAGACTTGCAAAGCTGAAATGAACCTACTATGAAGAGCACTGAAGCGAAGAACTGTTTAAGCAACCCTATGGGCTCCCCTGGACCACCCATACTGCTTTATAATAATTGTCTATTGAATATGTGCCCAGTAATATTAGATACAGTATGTCCCAGTTCCTGTCCTCCATTGTCACCCTATCTTATGAACTGCTATTGGAGACTGTAAACAACCATGGTGATGCTCAGTGTGCAGGCATCATCTGCGGCTATCTCCATTAGCAAGCTGGTCCTGAGCAATGACATGCAGCCATTGCTTTAGTGTATGTAGACAGGACATGACTAAGGCTGCAAAAGACCAGCTACAATGACATTCAAATAAAAAATTATGAAAGGATAAAAAAAAAGTACATGGCAATTGTTTGGTTTGTAATACACAGTACTCCAGAAAATGATGTCATTACAGGGTAGCATAATTGAAATGGACAGATTGCAGAGGAAGCCTGGGAATTGTGAGCAGAGAAGCGTCAAACACAAAATCCTAATACAGGTCTTTAGTAAAGCTGGCCATACACCTATAGATTATCTGCAGATTTTTGATGGTCAGATGTAAAAAGTGCAACAGATTCCTCCATCTACGCTAAACTGTGTGGATGGAGGAATCTCCCACTTTGTCAAGCTTCAGTATCTTGCTAGTCGGCCCCGCTGGCTCTCAAAATACCCGAACAATGCCTGCATCCAGATTGTTCAGGTATTTTGAGAGCTAGTGGTGCTCAGCATGCATGTATGTAAGGTTTACATGCGTATAGGACAAAAGTGCGTTCCCTAATAGTTGCTAGCACAATAAGTAGCTGGAACCACCTGCATCCTAACAACAGAGGAAGCTATGTGGCTCAAGCTGTTTGCATCCTAGCTACAAAGAAAGCTAGCTGGAACAAGCCGTCTGCATCATAGCAACAAAAGATGCTAGGATGTTCCAGTCAGCCAGCATCTTTGTTCATGGGACGCAGGCAGCTCCAATAACATAAATTTGCGCTTTATACATGTAAATGTTAACACAAACATTTACATACGTACAGCATAAAATATGGTACATACCCAGGATTTTTGTATTTTTACCTTGGGGAGCGATGGAAATGTACCTCTACTATTGATTATCATTGCTGTTGACGGTTGTGTTTTTGTTAAACTTTGTTTGTGTTTTTCTACCCCTTTTTTTTTTTCTTTCTTTTCTTTATGTTTTGAAATGAAGCACTTGACAAATATTTCTAACTATTTTTGCAGAAGAATGCATGAAGGTATTCAGTGGCTTACATCTGTTTCCTGCAGGAATGGGTGGTGATTTATGACATCATTGCAAATAAAGCGGACCTTTACCCATATCTTTAAAATAACAACAAAGACACCTTTAGAAATGATTAGTAATGAGACTCTACACACACATACTTCTAGATAATTGCCGGCTTTGCATTCTTTGTATACCTTATTTTTCTTTTTTTCCCCAGTCTTGTGACAGTGGCCATGTTTACTAAGGGCAGATTACTAGATCTCATATTACTATCTGGATTTCTAGCACATGTGACTAGACATGTCAGGGGAGGAAAATGCCTTTTCTTGAGATTTCGTGAAATTACAGATGAGATTTACCAGCAATGCTCTGCTGATGACAAGGCAATCCCAGCATGCATTGCGTTGGCATACTGAAGTCATTTTGCCTTTTCAAAGCAGGAAGTGAATGCTCTGCGTAAGTAAGTACTTCAAAATCACAGCATTTTACACCTGACATGTCTATCTTATTATTAATCATCATACATAGAGGGATGCATTGTTAGAATTCGATTATTGAGTGTAAAGGTCCGCTTTAAGGGATTTGGGTTCCATAGGTGGGGCTATTCACCTTTTATTTACATATAGTTCTACATTGGTTGAAATTATCAGTGAGGAATATGACTTGCCGGCACTCCTCTACCAGAAAGTTGTTTATTTACTTTGTTTATAAATATGTTTCCATGCAAATATATGATATGTAGGTTTATATTGAGGATATGTATACAGGTAAACATTTTTTAATATAGGTTTATTAAAGTGAAATGTAAAACTTTTTTTGGGAAGGGAATTTTGAGTTGTTATATTCGTATATTGGGTGCACGTGTATCTTTTTAGGGGCACCATTGTACTCAAGTCTGTTTTAGTCCTGTATTTTTCAGTTGGAGTCCTATATCTGTATAAAACTGTGGACTCCAGACTTAGAGGCTTTGTCGGTAATTAATGAATTTTGGGAAAAAATGTATTTGTTTTTAAAATAAAATGTATTCAAAGTTAACTCCTTATTAACCCCCTAGGTAATAAAAAAAAACATATGAGGAAATAAGGGTTTGTAGAGAGGTATGAAACCAATGCATAGATAAAATGTATCAAAATGTATTTCACATACAAATAAATAAGAGAAAAATGGATCCAGTTGATGCAATACACAGTACCACCCATAAAGTTAGAAAAACATATGCCCAGTGATCACATCTCAGACCAAATACTTCTAGTTAAACAGCCATGATTCCAAATAATTCATGGATGCAATATCCAGATACATATCTGACATGATTCGTCCCGACACGTTTCGCAAATAGCTTCTTCAGGGGACCAACATAGGCTAATGATACACAAGGATTGTCTGGAATAGGACTGATGTTTGGGGACCGAGATGAGAAGGGTGGCTCAGATAAGCCCAACCACCACACCCCATCTGTCGTCACGCCTGGGACCCAAGGGGAGGAGCGCCTCGGACAATGTAGAGGACACAGCCAACCCCTGCTGGGACAAATTCCTATTAGAGGCGTATAGCAGGAGTGACCTTAACCCACTAATAATGTTGTCCTAATTGGTCAGCCTCGACTATGGCCAGAGATTTCGGCTTCTGATACATCCTCAGCTCCCGGCTCCATATAATGCACTCGCCCCTAGTTAATCAAAACTAGCCCTAATTAACTCTTTCCTTCCCTTCTCCCATTGGCTATTATTTTTGTTGTGATTTTGTTATTTCTATATTTTAGCATCAATATTTATTTCTTTTTTTAAATTTTTTGTTTGCTACTTTGTTAAAAAAATTAATGCTTTCGCCTACAGATTACGTAGGCCATAAAAAACTTTTTCTTAAGACAATATTGCTAGAAAAGAAAGCCTATTTGGTGCCAAAAATATGTAATAAAATAATACACAAAATGTATGTATTACTGTGTTATCTTAAGTAACGACAAAGTTATCACCGAATAAACAGACCCGTAGTGGTCCATACGGGGTATACAGGTACGAGAATTGATCTACCATCTAACAGTAACAAAACGTTTACATGGACACAATACTTATAGGAGAACTATGAGGTGAGTGCTTTTCACTCACCTCATAGTTCTAGCCGACCTGTGACAATGAGACAGGTCGGCTCAGTAGATCGGGAGGTGAGCGATTACATACCGGCGTTCGCTCATCTCTCGATCCTGTCACGGCTCTCTGCCGTGACAGGGGAGGGGCTGGATTCCCCCCTCCCGGCTCCGATCCGCCAGCGCTGACTGGCGGAACGGACGGGGGAGGGGGCGGGTACAGCTGGATCTGCCTTTAGATAGGCAGAGCCAGCTATCACTCACGCAGCTGGGCGGATCCCGGCACAATTGTCTGGATCCGCTTCAGCTGTGGCGTCTCAGTAAAACGCGAGCAGCTGCGCGCGGTATACTGCGGCGTCTCAGTATAACGCAAGCTACAGCTCGCGGTATACTGAGCCTAGGGTGACGGGAGGACGCTAGTTTGTGTCCTCCCGTTACCCTAAGGAGAACTATGGGGAAAAGACTTAATCCCATAGTTTTCCTTTAATAAAGTTTTTCTTATTTACCTTCAGATAGGTCAACTAGGCAACCAGGTCTCTTACCATTCCATTGACATGAACCTCCCTGCTTCTTCATTAAAAGAGAACTATGGGCCAACATTTTCTGCCCATAAATCTCTTTAGAATCACAGGAGGACATATAGTTTGTCCTCCTGTGATCCAAAACTCAGCATATAGAGAGCTATTGCCCACTATATGCTGACAGCGCAGAGCGGCGCTGAAGTCAGAACAGATCACAAAAATTTGAATCCATGTGAATTACATAGTTACATAGTATTTGAGGTTGAATAAAGACATAAGTCCATCAAGTCCAACCTATTGCGTGTATGCAGTTATGAGCAGGTGTGTGTGTGCGTGTGTATGTGTCCATGTGTGATTTTTCTCTTAAAAGTACCTGTACCCTTGTATATTGTGGTCTCCAAGGAACTCGTCAAGGAGTCTCTTGAATGATTCAACACTCTTAGCTGAAATCACTTTCTGTGGCAGCGAGTTCCAGACCTTAACCGCTCTAACTGTGAAGAACCCCTTGCGCCCTGTATGTTGAAATTTTTTTCCACCAATTTTTGGTTGTGCCCTCTGGTCTTTGTTACGGAGCTGACCGTAAACAGTTTGTTACTAAGGTTGCTGTCACCCTTGAATAGTTTATACATGAAAATCATGTCCCCCCTTAATCTCCTAACCTCCAACGAGAACATATTTAATTTTAACAACCTTGTTTCATAGTTCAGATCCTCGAACCCCTTAATGAGTTTGGTTGCCCTCTTCTGGACTTTTTCCAGCTCAAGGACATCCTTTCTGAGTATCGGTGACCAAAACTGAATGAAGACTAAAAAAATCACAAGGCATTCATCTCAAAAACCTTTATTGGCTTCACAAATGATGGCAAGGAGATATGCGCAGCCAACATGCTTCGGGAGTCAGAAATCCCATTACTCATAGCTCAAGCAATAAACAACAGAACACTGATGGACTCTAAATTCATAGCTCCTGCACAGAATTCTATTTCTTAGGCAGGAATGAAAATCCTTGGTAAGGAAAGATAATTTGCTGTTTAAATTCTGAAACGTATTGGTTTTGCATATCTCCTTGTCATCATTTGTGAGGATAATAATGTTTTTTTTAGACTCTTGAGATGATTGCCTGGCACTCTTTTTAGACTTCATTCACACTGATCTCTGGAAAATTACTGTGAATCATTGAAAAAATCATACCTTGTGATCAATTCTCCAATTATTACGCCCAAAGGTGTCTGAACGGGTTAGGAGCACCTCGTAAACTTATAATTGTTTACTGAAAAGACCTAGATGAAGGCTTAAAAAACATAGCACCAGCCTCTAGGACAGAAAGGGAGATAAGGGCTATTCTTAAGGTGCCCATACACTGCACGATTATCGTACGATAATCGTATGCGATCGGTTTTTCGTACGATAATCGAGCAGTGTGAACGGAGACGTGCGACCGTTTCTACTGTACGGTCGCACGTCTTCCGTCGAACCAGCATGTTCGAAAACCAGCCGGGAATCGTACGATTCTCGGCTGGTTAGAACGGTGCTCGGAAGACAAATGCCGAACGGGCCGGTGTGCGCACGCGCACACTGCCCGTTCAGCATTGCGGTCATCGGAAGCCTGCCCCTCAGGGGGGCGGGCTTGCGATGATCGAGAGTGCGATCTGCCTGTCCAAGATAGGCAGATCGTACGTTTTTTTAATCCCTTTACAACCATCGCAAGACTAAAGTCTTGCGATGGTTGTAGAGTGTATGGGCACCTTAAGTTTCACAGTTACACATTAGGTAGCATACGTGCACTTCACATGATAATACATCTCTTAGGCTGCATCTGCTTTAATAAAACAAATCTGTCATTAGCATAATGCAGTCATAGACATGTAATAAACAGCTGAGGCTTAATTGGCAATTAGTTTTTATATCATAGATAGGTAGGTAAAGTATTCCAAGGGGATTCATTATGATAACACGCTGCACTATATATATTTGCATTCACCAGTAATTGGATTTCATATAGAACCTGACAATTATACGTGGTGTCTGATGAGTTTATACATCTATGCATTTTTCTTTGATCTCCAATCTGACCCATTAAATCTTTCTGAAGTGGTAAGTGGTAAATGTTTTCTCCTATTGAATACCAATGTTCTACCTGAATTTTTATTAATATTTCCCATAACTCTGTTTTTAATCATGGTAAATACTTTGTTAATAATTCCTAAATGGATATGCAGTATTTGCGGTAGGAACATCCAGTGCTTGTTTATTAAGGTAAGCAGACATAAGGGATAGGTGAATTTCCCTGGGTTTGATTTGCTGAGGATTCGCTCAATCCTGTTTGAAATTCAGTGAACTTGAACTTATTAGTGAATTCTGTTGAAGTCTGTGGTAGGTAAATCTTGTTAGTAAGTTGTAGACATATTTAAAACAAATAAGCAAACTACTATGTGTGTGTGTGTGTGTGTATATATATATATAAATATACAGTTTATATCAAACAGCAGGGAGATGGGGGTTTTATGCAGCTTTAAGGGCAATACTGAATATACAAGCTTGGGGTCTCAGCAACAGCGAAAATCGGCAGTGCATAAATGGTTGTTGAATAATGTTTTTCCTTTCACAATTAGCTTGCCTTACATACAGCAGCAGAGCTCCAATCTTATTAATGTAGATTTTTTTTAAAGCAGTTTTTGGTCTCTTTAGCAGTGACATATGCTTTTTCAACAAGCAGTAATGGGTCCGTTTTGACCAGCAGATAAGAGGCTGCAGATGACACAACAGTGTAAAACTGGCCAGCAGAAGGACAATTTTAATGAGCAGAGGTAGGCTAAAATTTACTAGAGACAAAGAGCACAGGCTGGGTCTTTTCTATCAGAATGAAGACACTTCAGAGGGTACAGCACAGTGTAAAACTGGCTAGGAAAAATAGGCCTAACTAGTGTATGCCTTACTTGTGTTTTTACTACAAAGATAGGATGGAGGTAGGGCAAATGTAATTGGTATAATTTGAGGTGATTTAGGCTCACAATGGCCTTGCATTTTTATATATATTTTTCAAATGATGCAGCAGATAATCAGCAACAAGTGAATGCTGCTGTTTTAGCACCCCAAACTTTTAAAAAAAGGCTGTATCAACATAACATAAAAATAAGAAAAAAGCAGTTTCATCTAACAAACAGGCTATATTAATATACGCTAAAACAATACACCCCAAAATAATGCCCCATGAAACAAAAGACCACTTTTTTAAAGGGATACCAAAAAAAATCACACATTTAAGACTAAAATAAAGGTCCTATTAACATGCATTGTGTCAGCTTTCCCTATTCTTTCGTTTTAGTAACTTCCAGTACACTGACACAATGGCAGCTCTGTGTCTCCCCTTTTTATAGTGAGGGGGCTGGTTTATCCAAAAACTTTATCCGGCAACTGCACTCATCAGTTTGTAACTAGCTTTTAAAGTAAGGTGCACATGGAAAGGCTTTACACAGTACAAACACAAAAATGTCCCAGCATGTTTACCAGCTAGCCTGCAAAAAAAAGCTTACACTGTATCACAACTTGCGGTAAAAACTGAGGTTTTAGTTGCACAACTTTTTCAAAATATGTGGAAGCCACACTGCCTCGTCAAGGCCCCTCTGTGTAGTGTGGTCCTAACTCTAATCTATGGGGTCTATTCACAAAGCTGCCGAAGGATCTGGCCGTAGCTTCGGCCGATCCTTCGGCTGGCTTCGGCCCCAGGACCCAGTATCCTCACACCAAGTTCAACAGGTGAAGCAAATGGCAACCACACCCATCAATTTATAATGCTTTTAAAGTAAATATATAGCTTTATTATATAGCTTTTAAAGTAAAGTACACATGGAAGGGCTTTTCACATTACAAACACAAGAATTTCCCAGCACACTTACCAACTAGCTTGCAAAAAAAGCTTACACTGTATCACAACGTGTGTTAAAAAAAGAGGATTTAGCTGGACAACTTTTGCAAAATATGTGGAAGCCGCACTGCCTCATCCAAATGCCCCCTTATTGGTATGTCTAATCCTGCTGGCCAAAGTTCAAAAGTCGTGCAGTGTATTATGGTTTTAAACATTTTTCCCCAGCGATAAATGTACATAAATTCACCAGGACCACAAATTTTTAACCCACAGGATGTCCATCGGACCCATGGTGGCAACAAACCCGAACCTCATGCCCAGCAGGCATATAATAGTTCCTGTTTATTCACATAATTTTGTTGCATTATAAAGTAAGCTAGGAGCTGATCTTTTCACTTGTGAAACATTTTGAAATTATATACTGGATTAATAGTCATTAAAATGCATTCCATTACAGGAAATTAGATTTTGGGAAATATGTATTTAAACCAGACTTTAATCAGATATTTCATAATCAAAGGGATTTCAGATGTTCCAGAAATTCAGACCGCTATCTTCTTTCTGGTTCTGCTCATTTATCTCATCACTCTTGCTGGCAACATGACCATTTTTCTGCTTATCTGCCTGGACCACCATCTCCACACTCCGATGTACTACTTTCTGGGCAACTTGTCCATAGTGGACATGTCATGTTCCACCATCACTCTGCACAAGACGCTCACCAGCTTTATTACACATGATAAATCTGTTTCCTACCTTGCGTGCATGATCCAAATGTACATGTTTGGTTCATTAACAGGTCATGGTCTATTGATATTAACAGCCATGAGTTATGATCGCTATGTAGCAATTTGTAATCCTTTACGATATCAAATGGTTATGAATACTAGAACTTGTGTTCTGTTGGCGTCTGCTTGTTGTTTGGTTGGGTTTATACAGGTTATTCCCCCTGTTGGGATTCTGTATACTTTTTCTTGTTATTCAACAACTGAAGTCAATCACTTCTTCTGTGACATTGTTCCCTTAATGAAGATTTCCTGCGACGATACTTCATTTTTAGAAATGTTATTTTTTATAGAAGGTTTGGTCCTCTTGATTTATACTCCATTTGTTCTCACTTTTATCCCTTACATTTTCATTATTGTCACCATCCTGAAGATCCGTTCCCATCACGGCAGACGTAAAGCCTTCTACACGTGTTCATCTCACCTGACAGTTGTCATCTTGCTCTACACAACTCTTGTAAGCCAGTATCTGACACCAAACCTAAGTAGCACTTTGGACTCCAAAAAGCTATTTGCTCTGTTTAACACAGCTGCTGTCCCGGTGCTCAATCCAATAATCTATAGTCTTAAAAATAAGGATGTGAAAGTAGCTCTTCGGCGAAGCTTAGGGAAATTCAGATTGATGGCTTGAAGTCAATTTGCCTTAAATTTATTTGTTTAAAAATATGTTTTCTTTTTAAACCTAATTATGTAACATCAGGCCTCACGTATGCGCACATAGATGGATTAATAAATGGATAAATGTTTTTTTCAATAGTGCAGCATAGTTGCCACTATTTTCAAGGTGTAAGAACTAATATTTGTGATTTCTCTTGGAATTTTTTTCATTGTTTTATTTGTGCTGTACGCTATGATTGAAATATGTCTGCAAGATATATTTAGGGTGTATGTGGATGTATGCCTATGTGTTGAAGGACATTATTTTGGCTGATGTTATTTAACACATTTTAGTGTTATGCTAACTAAGTTTTCCTTCAAGATTACATTCTACATATTAGATATCTCAACGCACATAAATACATATTTATATATATGTATATACTTTTATACCCACATTATGTTCAATTAAATATTTGTTTACACTTATGGACTTTATAATGGAACAGTGAAGTGTCATTTTATGATGTGCATGCAAGTGATAATTGAATATACTGTATGTAAATTTATGTTTCTGTTTTTCTGTTCTTTTTTTCCTTTTTTTTCTTTTCAGATTGAAGGTATACAAATCCACAAACATGAATATTATACCTATTAAAATAGATTGCTTTTTTTTCCCCTTTTTGTTTGCATGATTCCTAATGGGACTTTTATCCATAGAAGATGTAAGTTTCTTCTTCAAGAAACTGATTGGGATATTTCTTTGTTTAACATGCTACTGTGTACCTCTCTCTCAAACCCGTGGCGGTAATACATCCTGACCAGCATGCAGTTTATGTTTAACTGACCTGAATATACAGTACATACACACACTAGATTCTATCACTACAGACACCTCATTCTATAAATGAAGGGGAATGAGGAAAGATCCAGCCTGCACGTGTATCTCTATAGGCCAATACAAATAGTCAGGTGTATGGCAAGTGGTGGCACTGCACACAACTGGATAAAAAGGAGCAAGCACTCCAAAAAGGATTTGAAGATAGTTTTACTTCCTTGCTGTCTTCTCTGAGGCATTTACGTTCAGGTTCATTGTAAAACAAAACTCAATTTTTTAGATTCCCTTCTAATATGCCATGTTAGAAAAAGTTAAGAGAATCACATACCAAGCACATTGAACAACAGTCCATAGTTATTTTTCTATATGGTTTGGCAGTCCCTTTTAAGTGTAAGTGTGACACTAGACTGTAGGTGACCCAGGGCACAAACACTATGTGTGAATAACATTCAGATTATTGCAGAGGCTACATTTTTCTGTAGCTACAGTTGCCAAGGAGTTTTGTTCCTCTTGCTCAAAACTGCAGGAGATAAAACAGGCTCTTCCAGATGGGCATCAGTTTTATTTCAACCTTTGTAACTGTTTATCTGTATTGTGACTTCTTCTCATACTAACCTCAGGATATACAGTTCAGGCCAGGGCCTCAAAATAGTTTAGCATTCAGAATGTTTTGTTGCAATAAGGTGTGGTAAAACACAGAGAATCCCTGCGGGGAGCTGTGGCTGATAGTCACTGCTCTCTGCGGGGAGAAGAGGGGGAACTGAGCAATCATATGTGATCACTCAGTTCTCAATCTATAGAGCCGACTTGTGACAGCTGCAGCTCTAATTATGGGGATGAGTGTATTTCACTCTCCCTATAATTCTCTTTTAAGGTATGCTGTCATTTCATTCAAAATGGATGGGCTGCAATAACACACACCACAAAGATGTGAGGGAGCCCTAGTGTACTGAACAGTATTGCATTTACAACCATTAATGTAACTCATAATATCTATATATGTATAACCACAAAAAATTGTAATGGAAATCATGCACCCACAAATTGGACACCATTTTTTGTGTAAAAGTTAATTCATAAAATTCACTGGAACTAAGGGGCCAAGCCCAACCCCTGAAAAACAAACCAACACCATAATCCCCCCTCCACCAAACTTTACACTTGGCACAATGCAGTCAGACAAGTACAGTTCTCCTGGCAACCGCCAAACCCAGACACATCCATCGGATTGCCAGACAGAGAAGTGTGACTCATCACTCCAGAGAACATGTCTCCACTCCTCTAGAGTCCAGTGACGGTGTGCTTTACACCACTGCACCTGGTGCTTTGCATTGCACTTGGTGATGTAAGGCTTGGATGCAGCTGCTCGGCCATGGAAACCTATTCCATTAGGCTCTCTACGCACTGTTGTTGTGCCAATCTGAAGGCCACATGAAGTTTGGAGATCTGTAGCTATTGACTCTGCAGACAGTTGGCGACTTCTGCGCACTGTGTGCTTCAGTATGCACTGACCCCGCTCTGTCGTTTTATGTGGTCTACCACTTTGTGGCTGAGTTGCTGTTGTTCCCAATTGCTTCCACTTTGTTATAATACCAACAGTTGACCGTGGAATATTTAGCTGCAAGGAAATTTCACGGAACACCTGATTCCTATGATTTGGAGGGGTGTCCCAATACTTTTGGTAATATAGTGTATATAGCGCAGCATCAAATGGAGAGCTTTCAAGGACTCCACTTACCAATGTGAGTTTTAAGATTTTAGGATGCATTTTCAATTGGAGGGAACATTTCAGCACATCTGTCAGGATCGGATCTTAAGGTTGTGGACCCTAACTACAGTTGTGGTGACACCTTGAGTGGCTGGAGGGTGTGACCAGTGTAGGCCAACAGCCACAGAAGAAAAGCAGAGTATACACCCAGGAACTGGAGCTGTGGAACAGGAAGGAGCAATTGGAAGGTCAAAGCCAATGGTCTATAAGAGGCGGCTGAGTGTCTCAGACCAAAGTGGTTTGCCACACTACTGAACATGTACTCTAGGCCAGCTAGAGTACACCAGAGTTTCTGATGGTAGAGATAAGTTTTAAAACATGCTGACCCCAGGTCGCAACCCCCAGGCTCACCCTACTCAGCAGACAAAGCCAAAAGTTAGGGGCAGGCATTCATGACATCATGGAACCTGCTCGGCCCCTTTGTTTATATTCCTTTAGGGGATCGAGAGCTGTCACGGAATGTCAACAAAGAGGCGGAGCAAGTCCCCGGAGCAATAAAGGACTTGCCAAAAAACTGTGTTGTGTTTCTGTTGCGGTGTGTTTACATTTTTACTGTATTTGCTAAATGAGTAGGGGGTCACAGCTACTCCTTACTTATTCATGAGGGGGGGGTGGCATCTGGGTGCCCCCTTTATGCAAGATTTCTATAAGCCTCCCTGCCCATAGACCCACAGAACCACCGGGCCCGAGTTGTGGAAAAGAGGCCCTTGTCCTCATCAATGTGAGAACAAGGTGCTTTGCCAGGGGTCTCATGTGATCTGGTACGGTGTTGGGGGGGCACGATCAACCCCCCCATTTACTGCTCTGCAAGGCTGCTGCTCAGATCAAGATTCTAGTAGGGGATTTTAGGGGGCACTCCATGCTTTTTTTTTGGCATTGGGGTCCCCCCTAAAATTCCTACCAGACCTAAACAGCCAGTGCATTTCGGGGGCTACACCTTGCCCCCTTCATCAGTGCTTGTGCTTAGGATGGGCCAACATGTGACCACCAGCTGTCAATGAACAGCCCAAAAGTTTCTTTCTAAATACAGAATACATTCTAACAGGTTCCTACCCTAAATTCTCATTCACTGTATAGATGAGCATTATTTTCCTTCTGGCTCATCCTAATCAAAAGCAGAGTTTTGCAAGAGGCTGATACTGAGCCAAAATCATATATACAGACTGGTTACATGTAAAAATACATGTAATGATTTTTGAATAAATAATATGTTTATTAGTATATCTGCCTGAGGTTGAGCTATATGGAGCTGATTTATAACTCTTGAGTTATAATTTCCCATGCTGCTCAGTGCTATCTAGTGGTTGTACTGCCATGCGAACAGCATTCACCTAGTTATAAATCAGCCCCTAATTGAATCTACTACTTCTTGCTGTAAAATAAACCTGCTTTCTCAATATTGCCTTTTTAATTAATGTGATAGAGTTGTAAACATGTACCCAAACAAAATGTGGCTTAATTACCAATTAATTTGAATGTAGTAGGTCTTCGAAAAACATGCCAAAGGGATTAATTATGATAACAAGCTGTGTTTGTATATATATATTTACATTCATTAGGAACCTCAATGGAACATGATAGGTATATATGATTTATCTGCTGATAGACAGCCTTTGCTTTTCCTTTTCAACTGTTCTGGTTAAGAATGGAACACTGAGCCTTCTTAACAAGTTAAGGGGTAAGTCGGGTGTGTTGTGTTTTACCACTGATTAGGACTGCCTAATTTATATTTGTGTAGATCCCTCTCTCCTAAAACTAGAATCCTTTTTCCCCAGATACCGTATATACTCGAGTATAAGCCGTCCCGAATATAAGCCGAGGTACCTAATTTTACCACAAAAAACTGGGAAAAAGTATTGACCCGAATATAAGCCGAGGGTGGGAAATCATTTTCTCTGTATTGTTTGTGCCATGTTTTATGTATTAAAACCAATAAATACATACCTGTTAAAAAAAAAAGAAGAAACCTGACCACTGGACCACGCTGACTCGAGTATAAGCCGAGGGGGGCACTTTTCAGCAAAAAAAATGGGCTGAAAATCTCGGCTTATACTCGAGTATATACAGTACTTAATTTTTTGTGTTTTCAGTTTAAAAACTCAATGAAACTGAACATTTGAAATTCCTTGTCTTGGTAATTTTACCTTTTACTCGCTAGGTTTAGAAGTCCAAAGCCAGTGAGGTGCAATACAAAATGAATGGGAGGGTAAAAAGTAAAAGATATACAGGAGGTAAGCCTGGTCACATGCTGTGTTAAGAGAATACTTTCTTAAGTAGGGCACCACAGGCTCCACAATGCAGCCCCCATTTTATGAATGGGCCATAGAACACAGGGCGTAATGTATGTTACTTGATGGAGTAAGGCGTAGAACCGATAGAGGTATCCTCACTCCATTGTACATTGGTCCCTGCGTGCATTCACTTACTT